GCTCTCTCTCTCTCTCTCTCTGTCTCTCTCTGTCTCTCTGTCTCTCACACACACACACACACACACACACACACACACACACACACACACACCACAAAACCAAACTGATCGTCATCGAGTTGATTCTGGCTCGTACTAACCCTACAGGACAGAGAATAACTTCCCCCGTGGGTTTCCCAGACTATAAATCTTTATGAAAGTAGAAAGCCTCATCTTTCTCCCTCAAAACGGCCTATGGTTTTGAACTGTTGAGCTTGGGATTAGCAGACGGCATAACCCACTCTGCAGCCAGAGTTCCAACAAACCCTATAGGGGACAAAGTTAAAGCGTCCCTTTGGATTTTTTGAAGGTGGAAATGTTTAAGGGAACAGAAAGCCTCCTCTTTCGCCCACAGAACTGCCAGTGGGTTTGAACTGCTGACAATGTGGTTAGCAGACCAACACACACCGCCAGAGTGCCTTCCTTCTGGAGTGCAGGGAGAGATAAAGACAGACAGGGATGGAGGTAGGAGAAAGGAATGAACTAAAGCACAACCTCGTCACTCTGCAGCTAAGCAGGTGATCTTACCCCGAGTTGGGGAGGAAACCAGGCACCTTCTCCTCAGGAATACAGCCATACCTGAGCGTCCCAGGGGGCCGTAGGAAGCAGGGATGAGAGATCAGCTGTTTCCAGGTGCTGTGTGTCTTCACATGCACTAACATCCCTCTCTGATCTGCAATCTTCAGCCCCTTGTGGGCTCTGTGGACCAAACACATCATTCCCCAAGCCAGAACGGTCTTTGAGGGCTTGGAGACGCATTTCTGCCATGTCTTCTCCTCTGTTGCTCGGCAGGATGTGAGGAGCTGGGGCTGGTCGCCAGCAGTGAAGCACACAGGCATTCTCAGGAAGTTTCAAGGGCGTTTTGCAAGAAAGCGATACCACCAGGTTCCTCCTGGAGATAATAAGCCCTCTGAATTATTAAGGAGGTTAAGCCAGTCAGGGCTTAGCTAAAGAAGGAGTCTCACATCTCTGTGAAAATTTCAGACAATGGGGACTACGTTGCAGGGACAGTCATGTGCCGTGCGAACAGTGAGACAGGGAGCTGGGATGCCGTTCACTGGAGTGGCTCTTGGTTGCTTGGGGGGGAGGGGGGGGCCTGCCTTTCAGGGCCAGGAGCCAGCCTCAGAGACAGGTCCACACTGCTCGCGGCTATTTTTAAAGTGTGAAACTCAATATGTACCAGCAAGATGGCCTGGGTCGGACAAGGGGAGGGTTGTGGGAGAAACACTGGCGTTATCCAGAGTTCCCAAAGGACACTCACGTGAGACAGGGACACCAGCCGCTTGGCTCGTCTCTATTCTAGTCCAAGGAATGAAATGTCTGGCTGGACGCAGGGGTGACAGTGAGGCCATAATGTACCCTGCTTCCCATGCCAACCTGTTTTGTGATTCCACAGATGCTAAGTCTGGTAGCTTAAAGAGAATGTGCCCTAACTCCTTGGTAAAAACAAAGCTCAACCCCCCTCGGGTTCTGTTTATAATCATTCTTCAATGTCCAAAATGTGTATCCTCTAATGCCCTGGGGGAAACTTTAAACCTTAAACCAGACTTTCCCCCTGAAGTCAGGGTCACACTGAACCATAATTTAGCTTAACTGGTAGAAACAGGTGCATCTCACTGACTGAGGCTGGGTTCTCTTAGAGAAGCAAAACTGGAGATGCTTCCATGTGTATCCAAAAAGGCCTCCAAACGTTCGTGGGGCAGGGGGGATTCCATGATCTGTATATTCCATTTTCCATGACTATCTTGAAACCGCCTCATCTACACAGAGATTGAGCTCAAGAAAATAGCACAGCAGCCTGGACCTGTTTCAGAGCCTTCTCTTGTGTTGGACCCCATTCAAACTGAATAGCTTGCCAAACCCTTTGATAATTAGGCCAGAGCAGTACACCCAATTGAGGAATATGTTGCTTTCAACATCCAAAGAGGCCCACTAGGCATGGTGCCCCTTTTTGAATTGTGGGAGGAGCCGGGTATAATAACAAATCTTTCATTTTAGAAGGAATCTCTCGATATGTCTCACACCACTGGACCCCTTGACATTTCACCCAGGTGGAGGATTCCTGAAGTTGTGTCAGGTTAACGTCTCACCCTTTGGAATGCCCTGGTGGCATGCTGTTTACGTGAGAGGCTGCTAACCACAAGATCAGCAGTTCAAAACCACCAGCCACTGCTCAGGAGAAAGACCAGACAAGGCTTAATCCCTGTCTTATCGGGTCAGCATCATCTCGATGGCAGTGTGTTTAAGAATGCAAATGTCTCCCTAATAAATCTTGTCTTTCTTGCTAGGCCCAATGTCGTCGACATAATGGACCAGTGTATGAAGGGAAAAGCAATCAAGGTCCAAATCAGACAAAGTTATGACGCAGTACTGGAGAATTTACCAGGAGTCTTGGTGGTGCTGTGGTTACCTGTTGGGCGACTAACTGCCAGGTCAGCTGGCAAAGCCACCAGCCACTGCTCAGGAGGAAAACAGGGTTTTCGACTCCCGTGAAGAGTTACAGCCTGGGACACTCACAGGAGCATCCTACTCTGATCTTCTAGGGTCACTATGAGTCAGCAATATGTATTATTGCAAAGTTAACCAGGTAGTGACTCTAATTGCAGCAGTTATTTTCCAGATGTGGTTTCCTTGCTTGAGCAGATCAGCACATCTGGTACCTGGTTTACAGCTATGGAGCTAGCCAATCTCCCTTTTCTCAGTTCTGATTTTGAAGGATGGAAAAGCTGTTTGCCTCCAGCTGGCAAGGCCAGCAATACCCCTTCACTGCCCTTTCTCAAGGATCCCTGATGGAGGATGGAGCTGCTAACAGGAAAGTCAGCAGTTCAAATCCACCAGCCACTCGGGAGGAGAAAGATGAGGCAGTCTGGGTCAGTAGAATTTACAGCCTCAGAAACCCCGTGCAGCAGTTCTACCCTGTCATATATGGTTGCTATGGGTCAGAAAGGACTTAAAGGGCAGTAGGTGGATCATACTACCTGGTTAAATTTGTAATAATATAATCCACTGTCATTATCCAAGATCCATTCATTATTTTAATATATGCTAAACAGACAAGAGTTCAAAAGATGCATGGCATTGGGTAAATCTGCTGCACAAGACTTTGGAGTATTGAAAAGCAACGATGTTACTTTGAGGACTAAGATGTGCCTGACCTAAGCCCTGGTCTTCTCCACGGCCTCATATGCACGTGAAAGTTGGACACTGAATAAGGAAGACCGAAAAAGAATCAATGCGTTTGAATCATGGTGCTGGAGAGGAATATTGAAAGTCCCATGGACTAGTGAAAGGGCGAATAAACGTGGCTTGGAAGAAGCACAACCAGACAGCTCCTTGGAGGTAAGGGAGGCAAGACTTCGTCCTACATGCTTCGACATATTGTCAGGAACACCCCGTCTCTGGAGAAGGACGTCGTGCATGGTAAAGTCGAGAGCTGTGACTAAGAGGAAGGCCCTCAAGGAAATGGGTCACAATGGCTGCAGCAATGGCTCAAACATCAACACAATTGTGAGGATGGTGCAGGACCAGGCAGTGGCTTGTCGGAATAGAATCGGCAACAACTAACAACAAAAAATAGGCAAGTTACCTGGATTGTGGTGGAAATCACCACCCCTACATCCTTCAAGTCCTTGATGGTAAAACTAATATCTGCAACCTCCCCCTCCCAGGAGTGTGGCATTGCTTTTAGGTTACTGTTTCCTACGTAGGGGACCATTCTAATGTCTTACACCATTCCCTACGACCATAGCCCTTATTCCACATGTCAGGGACCCAGTTGCTGGCTGTGTCTATTCCAAGTGTGCATTCTGGAACTGAAGACATCGATACAGGATGATTTTGGGGGGAGGGGGTGACACTTGACCCACTGTGAGTACTGAGCTAAGACTCCATGAGAAATTTTACCTCTATATGCTTCTACTTGCATGGTGGGCCACAAGGATATATTGGAGTCTCGTGGAATTAGTGTCCATTCAGAATCAGCGTCTAGCAATTTTCAAATTATCCTCGGATAATTTCCTTTTCCACCACAGACAATCGCTCTTATAAAAGCCCATAGATCCCTTTGGGGAAGCCTGGGGGAAAGATGACTAGCATACATTTTTGACAGTGCAGCGAGGTCACTTTCAAAGAGACCCCCTTTCCCACTCCTTCAAGGGAGTATGGGTCTATAGACTGGCTCAAGTCTGTGAACCGATTGAAGGGTGGTGACTCTACTCCAGCAATTCAAGTTAGACTGCTGTTCCCTTGACCTTAAAGTCTCCCACATGGACAGATTAATTAAATACTTAGAGAGTTCCCATCCGTTGTTGTGCTTCCAAGGACACCGAGCCTGAATAGCCAGTGCCATAGGGCCCCATGAGTCAGGCGAGTCTGGCTGCTGCTTGGACTTGGCACTCGTTGCGGTAACGGCCTCCACCTTGTCTTCGTCACTTGGGAGTTGCCACTTAGCCCCGTCACCATGGCGTCCAAGCAGACCCATTGTAGTGAGGCAACTTCATTCAGGGCCGATCCTACTGTCAAATCTGACTTAGATGAAGTCGTCATCACAGCAGTCTTCAAGGATGTCGGGCTCCCTCCATAAACTGGTTCCTTAACATTGTGGTAAATAATGTGTCCTTGGGGGATTCCCTGTGTGGATTTATGCATCTGACCCTGAAAAATTCACTCTAGTGTGCTAATCTCCCTAAGCATTTTGGGACTTCCTTCTGCAGTATGCCATGGCAGGTCGGCTATGTCAACTTCACGGTGCAGGACACCGTCCAGTCCGTGATTCAGGGAACCAACCAAAGAAGCTATCCGATCCGCTCCTGACTCTGGAGCTGGGACTCTGAATGAAGAATCTGTGCGCAGTGGCCCTACCCATGAACTCACACGGATCCACCTTTATGTTCCTGACATCATCATCCCCCACGCGTGCCAAGTTTCTGTTTGTGCATCTTAGGAAAATCAAGCGGGTCTTCTCGAGGGCAGCATGCCTCTTCCACCGTCACGCTTTGTGAAACTCCACATTCTGGGGGCCACTGAGACTTTCATGACATGAGTCCTGGGACATTCATCCAGGGTCTTGTAAGGTATCTGAGAGAAATACTGGCCTTTCTCCTCCCTTAAAGAGTGACAGTCTCCGAAACTCACATGGGCAGTTCTGCCCTGTCCTCAGAGGTCGCTGGGAGTCGGCATCCACTCCATGGCAGTGAGTTTGTTAGGCACCTACTGCAGGCCCTGCCCCAGACAATTTCTTACACACAGATTCATCAGGCGCAACTCGGTTCCACTCATCTTGTGTGGGTCAAAGGGCTCCTTCTGTTGGCAGAAGAGATTTAACATCTCCCATATGTCCATCTGTCCCTATTATCTGCATATAAACCCATCTTCAAAGTGTCAGGCCTTATTGCTCCCCAGTCAACGGCCTCACTTCAACAGCAGACACCCCTGAAGGTTGTAAATCCCACTGGTGTTGTAATTCAGTTACTCTTGCCATAAAACTCTGGGTTTGGTGTTCAGCAATATGAGTGCCATTACTAGAAGAAACAGGGTCTCTTTCAGAGCACGTGCAGCAACACTGAGGTCTTTTAAGGCATCTGGGCTGTGACCTCATCTCGTTCTTTCACTACTTCCTTTAACGTAAGGAAGACCAAGCATTCCGACAGGGAGCATGTCATCAAGAAGCAATGGCCCACGTTGAAGAAAGAAGTCCAAACCACACTGAAGGCATTAGCCGAAAACAAGGCCCCCGGAACTGACAGAACACCACAAGGGCAAGTCTGAACAAGTTCTTGAAGCACGGGAAGCATTCATTCATCTATGCAAAAAACCTGGAAGACAGCTACCTGGCTAACTGAATGGGAGAGATCCAGATTTGTACCCATTCCAAAGAAAGGGGACCCAAGAGAATATGGACCTTTCTTGAAGAATATCACTCATATCATACGCAAGCAA